TTACACGATCCCACTAAAACGTGACATGAAACCTACAGGCGTAGGCAGAAACCTACAAATATGCGGTGACCCTGGCTCTGCTCTCGCGCAGTAAACATGATTTATTCCAAACCCTTTCCAGATGGAACAATCAAAACCAGAGGCTCCGACTTTGGGAGCGTCTCCTGGAGCCACTGGGGTGCGGGCAGGGAGTGGAGGGGCCCGGGCACGTGGCAAGGGCTGCACGTGCCTTGGGGACACCCTGCTGGGGACAGCCAAATCTCGACTCCTGCGGGTGAGCCAGGGCTGGGCAGGGCTCCTACATGTGCCCTGGGGTGCTGGGTCCCAGCTGTGCCCTGGGGGGCTCAGGCCCTCTCCATCCCCCGGGGTGCTCAGCATCGCTGTTGGCCCAGCGGCAGGAAGCGTGGGGTGTGTTTGGGGCAGTAATGCTTCAAAGCAGAGCCGTGTTCCAGTCCTCATCCAGTCCAGCCTGGAGGCAGGAGTGCCTGAGTGCAGGGGGGAGGCTCTTCCCAGCAGCTACCAGCGCAGGAGGGATCTGGCCCGGCCACGGCTCCGTCCGTCTGGGCAGTGGCCGGGGACAGGCGGACGGCCAGAGGAGGTCGGGTGGCTGGAGGAGGTCTGTCGCCCTGTGGGTCCCTCCTTCGGCTTTTTCCCACACTCTCGCTTTACTTCTTTATTTATCTTTAATTATTAGGCCTGTGCTGAGGAATCTTGTTCTGCCTCCTCGGCAGCTGCTGCGCATTTACCCCCCCTGTGCCTGAGAAACGCTCGCTGGCATCGCAGCAGGGACAGGGGACAAAGGATGAGGGGACAAAGTGCACCCACGGGACCTGCAGACACCACTGGGCTCGGCCTCAGTCCCAGTGCCCCAGACACATGTTGGTGTCCGATTGGGAACATCTTCCAAGCAGAACTGTGTCTCCTTCCTCTTCCTTTGGCTCCTTGCAGGGATCACCAGGAGCCAGCATGGGGACACATGTGGGGTCTGGTGAGTGGGGTGATGCTCACGAACCCCCCTGCAGCCCCAGCAGACGTTACACACACAGTGTGTGCTCTCTGACACCCGCCCTGGTTTATACCCAGAGTTTCATTCCTGCCCCCAGCTCCCTGCAGGGAGGAAGGAGGAGCACCAGCCTCGGTGTCACCCTGTTCTGACGTGGCCCTGTGGAGCTCACCCGGCTGTTTTGGCAGGGCTGGCACTGATGCAGCCTGGGGCAATCCCCCAGCCCCACATCCTGCTCCTCTTGGGGCTGGGGGATTTGGGACCTCTCAGGGCCGCCCCTCCAGTGTGGCTGTGGGGTGCCAGGGCACTGCAGACGTGGATTAACAAGGCTTTAATCCCCCCCAGCTGACCCCTGTGCTAATCGGCCGGTGGAAAAAGCGCCATATCCCCAACGAGAGCTGGAGAGCCGTGGCCAGCCCCGCTGTCACACGGGCGGGAGCCCAAACCTCTTCCAGATGTGGAATCCCAGCACAGGCCTCATTTATGTGCACAGCTTGATTGCACTGAAATTACAGATTGTCTGCAGGGAATAGAGGGCTTTGACTTATGACCAATTTCCAGTTCTACTTGAACTCCCCGCTCCAAGGCCGCTCTATCCTGGGCCCTGCAGATGGTTGCTTTCTGAAACCTTCCTCAGCTTTTTATTTGTTGTTTATTGGGCTGCAGCTCCATCAGGTTTGGGTTTTCCAGGGTCTAAGGGTCGTGGTGCTGCCCTGTGCGTCGGAGCATCCCAGCCCACGCCGGCTCTGGAGGCTTCACCCTCTCTCCGGGACTTATTTTTCCTGTGCTAACAAAAGCTGAGGCTTGGAACAATAATTTTCACCATCCGAAATAGCCCGGTGTGACGTGAGGCTGGAGGCAACGCCCGGGCATGGGCGGGGCGGGGAACAGCCCCTGAGCACCCAAACAAGGTGGGGACGGGGGTCCCAGCCAGGTCTGGGGGGTCTCCAGTCCCACTGGGCTGGGAGCTGTGGGGTCCCCTCTGGGATCCTGCAAGGTCTCCCCTGGGATGCAAGGTCCCTCCCTGGAGCTGTGGGGCCCCTCTTGGGATGTTGTGGGGTCCCCTTGGAAACTGTGGGGTCCCTCTGGGATGCTGTGGGGTCCACCCTGGGACATGGGTTCCCCCCTGGGATGCTGCAGGGTCTCTCTGGGTTGCTGCCTGTCCTCCCCATGGATGCTGCCTCCCCCAAAGCCCTCCCTGCTGCCAGAGCCCTCGGCACCTCTCACCAGCCCCGGGGCCCCTCTTTTCTCTTCCCCAAATCCCTCTGCAGAGCAGCGAGCCGTGCTCGGGGCGCAGCCTGCGCCGTATCTGCTCCCGGCATATGCTTTGAATTAATGCACTTGGAGAGCAGAGCCGGGCCGGGTCCCCGCCCCCAACGCGGCCCCCCCAGGAACCTCCGCGCCGCTGCCTTCCCTGCCCGGGCTGGGGAGCCACCGTCTCCCCGCGTCCTTTTTTGGTTGGGTCCAGAGGAAGTTTATTGTTTCAGCAGCCCAGTTTCTGGAGCTGTTATTTATCCAAGTGGATTCCAGCACGCTTGAAAAAACAATCTTGTTTTTTTCGCTTTTGGCTCCTCTTTTTGAGATGTGCTCGGGGCGCAGCCTGCGCCGTATCTGCTCCCGGCATATGCTTTGAATTAATGCACTTGGAGAGCAGAGCCGGGCCGGGTCCCCGCCCCCAACGCGGCCCCCCCAGGAACCTCCGCGCCGCTGCCTTCCCTGCCCGGGCTGGGGAGCCACCGTCTCCCCGCGTCCTTTTTTGGTTGGGTCCAGAGGAAGTTTATTGTTTCAGCAGCCCAGTTTCTGGAGCTGTTATTTATCCAAGTGGATTCCAGCACGCTTGAAAAAACAATCTTGTTTTTTTCGCTTTTGGCTCCTCTTTTTGAGATGAAAAAAAAAGAGGAGAAGAAGAAGGGTCTGTATTCTCCCTGCCGGCAGCCTCGTGAGGCTTCACAAGCCCCACACAGCCCCGCCACGGAGGGGGGATCTGGCACGTGGATTGACTAGCTCCCCTTCAGGGCCGAGATCCCCAGGATGGAGCAGGATTTGCTCCTCGGGCTCTCCCGCCGTCCCCACCAAAAACACATTTCCCCCATCGTTTCCGTTGACTCCAGCCTCTGGTTCCTTAATCCTTGCATTCTTTCACGGAGGGACTTTTCCGAGCGCCGCTTCATTAGCAATTATCTGTCCCCGTGGCGGGGACCTGTCCCTGACGGGGCCCCCACCCGCCACGCTGCCCGCGCCGGAGGTCTCAGGGGCACCTGGGGCAGGCATGAGCGCCGTTTTCGGAGTGGGAGGCGTGGGGTGGTCGGGCACTGAGGGATGGGGGGGTCCCCAGCCCTTCCCACCCAGCACATCGCTCCGAGCCCGGGCTGGGCGTCCCTCTTGCTGAGCTGAGGGGTCCCATCCCCTCTCCCCCCCAGGTGATCCCTCCTCCCCGGGGCAGCTCTTGTGGTTTAAAATCCAGCTGGGGGTCTGGTTTCATCCCTGCGTGCCAAGGGCTGGGTCCCTGTGTGGGGTCCCCAGTGAGGCTCGGGGGCTGCTGGCCTGTGACCCCTGTGTGTTGGGTCAGGGTGGCCCGGCAGACACACTGATCCCGTAGTATTTTGGGGGTTCTCAGGTAATCTCCTGTCAGGGGACGGTGGTGAGGGCCTGCACAGGGCTCGGCTGCCTGCGGACACGCGAGAGCAGAAAGTCCCGTGGAGCCTGATGAGAACTTCCTGGGAAAAAAATAAAACAAAACACACACACACAAAAAAAAATGAACCGAAAACAACTGGGAACATAATATCCATGAAACTAGAGAAAACAAAACAAACCCGTGTTGGAGGATGTGGGCTGTGACAGGGGAGCGTGAACCGGCTGGCTTCTGTGGGACAGGGAAGAGAGGAGCCAGGATCCCTACCCGGGAAGAATTTTACCAGGAAAGAAAAATTTTGGGCAAACTGTTGCTGTCGATGCAGCTTTTTGCGTCAACCCCTCGTTTTGGGCAAGGATCTCTTCTCTTTTGGAGCTCAGGGTGTCTGTCCCACACCATGCCAGTTCTGGAGGGACTCCAGGGGTGGCTTTGCCGAGGTGGCCCCCGGGGGCGGCTGATCCCGTTGGATCACGGGAGCGTTACCTTTTAAGGCGGGAGATGTGGAATGGCAGAGGAGTGGATGGTCCCAGGGGTCCAAGAACAGAGAGAGTGTCCCCGGGGCTCGACCTGGGGCTGCATTCCCAGTGGGGCTGCATTCCCAGCTGGGCTGCATTCCCAGCAGGGTGCAGCTCCCTGGTGCTCCAGCCCTCCCGGCTCTGCCCACCCCACTGGGGCATGGCCATGGTTTGTGAAATCTCCTGCTGCTGGAATGAAAACCTCCTGGAGCCACTGGAGCCTTGAGCAACAGCCCCCGCCGACACCGTGACGGGGAATTGGGCACACGAGGGCTGCTGTGGCCAGAGCTGGGCTTTACTGGATGTGCGGCTCTGGAAACAATCCCGTTTTTGCCTTTGCCCCCTGTTCTGGGAAGGGTCCTGGGCTGAAGCCGGCACCTCGCTCGTGCTGCGGGCTGAGCCGAGCCGGCATAAGAGGTGTCGCCGGCAGGGAGGAAGGGTCAGACACGCACCCCGCGCCAGGAGCATCCGGCCCCCGTGTGTGGAAGCAATTTGCGGCCGTCGGGGCTGCCGGACGCTTCCGCTCCCGCCGGCCGGGGCTGAGGGTCCAGCGGACGGCCGGTGCCCGGTGGCAGGCTCCTCATTAGCGCAAGGATGCTGGCGGGCCGCGCTTGCGGGACCCCGGCCCTTCCCTCCCAGCCAGCCCGGGGGTGGCAGCCCCTCCCGAAGCCGGGTCTGGTTCCTGCCCGTGGCCGAGCGCGGCCGCGCGGCCGGCGGACGGGCTGACAAGCACACCAGCCCCCATTCAGCCGGCCGCCCGGGGCCCTGCCGTGTGTAAACAGCCCCGCCGGCCCTCAATGAGCCCTTTTTTCCCGCGACCTCCCCCCCGGCCGATGGTGCTCCCCGGATGCCCTTCCTAGGCCACCGGCCGCGCCGCCCCGGCTACTTGCCGGTGGTCCACATTTTTGCCGGCAGCTGCGTCGCCTGCCCACAGCGGCCGCCCGGGAGGCACCGCCGGTCCCCGAGAGCCGCGTCTGGCTCTGCTAATTGCAGCTTTAATGAGGTCCTGGCTTAATCGTCGGGTGTTGGTGCCCTCCGTCCGCTCCCGTCTCCCCACAAGGGCCCCTTCGGCCAGCAAAGCTGTTTATTTTGGAATAGAATCTCCGGGCTGGGAGGCTCCCAGGGTGGCCACAGTGCTGTGACCAGCAGGAGCTGGGGGGTCCCCTCCTGGCTGCAGGTCCTCGGGGTGTCCTGGGTGCTGGGGTGGGGGGTCATCGCCCACCCGTGCAGCTCCCAGGTGATGCCCCAAGAGCTGGCACGGGGACCACAGGGTGTTCCATGGCATGAGGACCATACAGAGCATCCCATGGTCCCACCTGGCTGTTCAAGCCTGTCCCTGAGAGTTCACCTCGTTCCAGGGGCACAGCTGGGGCTGTGGCTTCTCACAGGGGGGTCTGGCTGTTCCCACTCCCCTCCAGCCCCCACGTCACCAGGGCATGGCTGGGGGTCCACGGCAGGTCAGGTAACGAGGCTGCCTCTCTCCCTTTGCTCTTCCCACAGGCTGCTGAGCAACAACAAGATCACGGTGCTGGAGAACGGCTCTTTCTTTGGGCTGCGGGCTCTGGAGAAGCTGTGAGTGCCCGGCGGGCAGGAGGGTGGGGGGCAGTGGGGTGCAGGCAGGGCTTCCATGGGATGAGAATGGAGTGGGTGCCGGCATCACCACCCACATCCCACTCCTGGTGTCATTCCTGGGAGCTGCAGCGGGACTGGCACCCCGGGGCACGGAATTTGCCGCCAGCACCCACGGGCATCCCAGGGACCCCGGGAGCTGTGGTGGGGCAGGAGGCACCGGGGGGGCCGCGCTCCGTGAGGGCCGGTATGAAAAGCGACATTGTCCCCCCGAACAAAGTCAACTTTCTTATCTCTCCATGAAAGGCATCTCTATGGAGGGAGCTGCGAGGAGGGGAGATTTATGGCCCCCATATGGGTTTGATCTGTAGGTATGCAGGCGCGGGGACCGGCACTGAGGGCGTTTTGTTCCCCGCCAAGGTCTCGCGCATTCCGGCGCCCCGCGGGCTCCCGTGGAAATCCCCACGGGGCTGCTTTTGGGGTGAGCGGGAAGCAGTCACCTTGGGGGCACCATCCCACAAGGCCAAGTCCTCTCCAGTGTGGGTCCAGGCCTGGGGTCAGTTCCTGCCCCTGGCACCGAGCTCTCATTAACGCTGAGGAGCAGTGAGGCCGCTCCTGGGGAGGACTCTGGCTCTGCAACCCCCAGGGTGTCCAGGATCCCCACAAAGGTCTCTGTGCCCGGGGAGAGCAGCCACCCCAGGTCACCTGCTGCTCACCACGGGGTCAGAGGGGTCCAGGGAGGGTGGGCAGCACTCCCCCACCCCGGGCCGGCCGCATCTCCCTGTGCAGTGCCTGATTGCCCTCGACAGGAGCCGTAATTGTTTTCATCAGGTCAGTTTGGGGCCACGGCACAGACGTGCCCCGTGGAGAGTCCAGCTGGTGTGGTGGGGACACAGTGGGGGCTCCAGGACCCCTTGCTTCTCATCTTGGGGCTCGCAGGGCCCCTGCTCACCCTGGCTGCCCATCGTGGGCACTTCAGAGTCCCAGCATGATGGGGAGAACCGATTCCCGGGGTCTCAGCAGTGCCCCCATGGACCACTGCCCCTCCGGGCTTGGCATCTCCGGTGATTTGTAGCAGCGTAATGAGATTAATGAGTCTGAGCGGGGCCGGTATGTGGCAGCGGCCTCATTAGCACAGCCCCGCTTGGGAATGGCCCGGGGGGCTGCGAAGGGGCTCAGCGGGTGACAGAAGGGACAGGGATAGACTCTGTCCCTTCATCTGCCCCTGTCTGAGCTGGGCTGAGGCGGGTGCCCAGGTCTCCCTCGGTGTGTGCAGGTGGGTGTTTGCAGGGCGGGTGTTTGCAGTGTGCCTGTTGTTGGTGCAGTGGGTGGTGGCGGTACAGGTGAGTGGAGCTGTTCCTTCAGCACCAGTGCTCACCTGTGCACACCTGCCTGCACACCTGCCTGCACTGCTGGCCACGGGAGCTGCTGGGACGTGCGTTTGCTGCTCGGGAAGGCAGGGGATGGCAGGCATGTGCAGAGCCATTGCATCAGCCAAGTGGGGCCGGGATGACGCCGGCTGCGTTTCCTCTCCCTGCAGGGCCCCTCATGTCTCTCTGGCTGGACTCCCACCCCCCTGCACTCTGGCTCTGCTGGAAGGGGTTGCACCACTCCTCATCCCAGGCACTGGCTCCTGGCCCTGCAACAGGGCTGTGGTTGATGGGGTGTCCCCAGGGCTTCAGGCAGAGCAGTGGGAGACCCAGCGCTGAGCTCCCTGGAGACTGCTATAAATAAACACAGATCCATATGGATCCCATTTCCTCTCCCAGCCAGTGCCGGTGCTTGGCAGGAGTTGCCTCGGGTCCCAGGGGCTGGATGGAGAGGCTGATGCCACCGGTGCTGCCAGCCCTGCTGGCAGCCTGACCAGCCCCTGATTAGATAGGTGCCTGCAATCAGGCTAATCAGCCAAATGAGCTTCCCAAGGGCCACAGAGCCCGTCCAGGGCTGTGCTCTTATCCCAGATGCAGGAGATAACCCACCAGGACGTGGCTGTTCTGGAAGCAATGTGAGGCCAATGCCAGCAGCCAATGCCAATGTGCAGGGGCATGTGATGCTTCTTGGTGCACTCGGAGTGTGCCGAGGGGCCGGCATCCCCCTGGGAGCAGCGAGGAGCCTCGTGCCTTCCCTGCACCCTTCAGAGAGATAACGAGAGGGAAATGGGATGGAAAACTGCTAATGAGGCCCTTGTAGGGTGTTTGCAGTGCCTAGGGGGGCTGAGGAAGAAGAGGAGGGCTGGGAGTGGATCAGGTGCCCTTGGCCCCCCTGTGTTGTGTCTCCTGGGGACAGGGCTCCCCGTGTCACACCCCGAGGTCTGTGTCTGTCTCCCCACAGGGACCTGAAGAACAACCTGATCAGCACAGTCCAGCCAGGCGCCTTCCTCGGCCTCCCCGAGCTGAAGCGGCTGTAAGTGCCAGCACAGCCCCTGAGAGCATGTGGGGCTGGCCCTGGGGACAGCAGGGACAGCGGGGTGTCCCCAGCTCTGACGGTCCCTCCGCTCACCTTGCAGGGATCTCTCCAACAACCGCATCGGCTGCTTGAGCGCCAGCGTCTTCCAGGGGCTCCCCAACCTCCTCCGGCTGTAAGTAGCTCCCCAGGGACATCCTGGCCAACCCTCCCCCCTGGACCCTGAGAGAGGGGCACTGTGAGGGCACAGCGAGGGGGCAGGACGTGTCCCCTCTCCCAGCAGGTCCCCGCTCCCCTCCATGCCACCTTTCTCTCCTGTCCCGCAGGAACATGTCCGGGAACATCTTCTCCAGCCTCCCGCCCGGTGTCTTCGACGAGCTCCCCTCCCTGAAAGTCGTGTGAGTTTGTGCCCCGGGATTTTGGCACCGGGGGGACAAGGGGGATCCCTGCCGAGGGTCTCAGGGCCGGCGTGTGACCCCCGTGACGCCGTCCCTCGCAGGGACTTCGCCACCGAGTACCTGA